GGAAATTATTTATTTAAATAGCTATTTTGTTACTTAATTCAGAACTAAAATTATCAGAAAGCTATTTTGAATATTGACAATATTGTATTCAGTAACTGAACACACTGAAAGTGTATAAACAACTACTGAAAAATAACAACAAACACATTAGTTATTATCCATGGAAAGCTATAGAATCAAGGAACAAACTGAAGAATATCATTGTATATCCTTGATTGACATGTTAGCAAACAAAACACCTTGTCAATGGTACATTTTGACACAGAATAACTATTCTGATTCACAGTCTCCTGTGACAGCCAACAGATAAAGTTGGTACTAAAATGTCAAGGCCTGCATTTCCTTAGCTTAATACAGTATTATTGAGCATTAGCACGAAATGGTTGTGCAGAAGATCATTACTTGCGCCCACAAATCATCACAGGCTCAGAGAAAGCTGGGCAAAGTATTTTGTACACTCTTTTGTGTCCATTGTCTTCTACAAAGGAATGGATCTATATGTAAAATTACTACACTATTTTTTAAATTTTAAATAAAAAAAGAAAACAAGTATCTTGAAGAAGAACTGGATAAAGTCAATAAGGTAAATTAATTTCAGATTTGTGTTGTTACGAGTATGAAGCACAAGACTCTCTTTTTTAAATTATGGTAAGTAACTTTTTCATTGAGAAAAATGAGAAGAAAAAAATCTGATTCTCTTACAACATTCTGCATCCTGAGATGTTATTTCACCAAAAAATCTAGCCAATAATTAACTATACTACGCCCATCCCTAAATTTCAAAAAAGCAACTGAGAGAACATTTCTCCAGAATTGCAGCTTTCCTGCTGTTTCTTGCTTTATACTATTCTGTAACATGGTTGATGTTGTTTGAGAGTATTCTGACATGTACTTTTAAGAGATTAACTGCTACACACTGACATGTACTGCTTTTAAAAATTTTAAAACATTTAAAAATATAGAAGATACTAATCTGTAATATACAAGTCAAAAAACTATAAACACGTCTGATAGATTTAGGGACACTTGTCATTAAGTAGATCCCACTAAGGGTGTTGAAGTCATTGGCTATGACCAGTCTTTAAAAAGACGTAAATTAGCTCGGTTATACTCTTTGGGGCTTAGCAGTTTTACAGACTGATGCTGCTGCAAGAAGTCTCAGACAAAGTAATTGCCTCTTTTTTAATACATATCAGCAATCATGTGTTAAGTAATGAATAATCCATCCTTTTTTTCCCCCCAGACTTAACTTGGCCAAGTAAATAAATTATTTTCGTTCTTAAAGTTCACAAGCGTGTCAAACTGAGATCCTTATAGTCTTCTCCTAGTATTCCGTGGTCTGTATTAGTTTCTCAAGAGTCTTTATGACATTCACTATTCTTAGGGTTCGGGGGCTTTTTTACTATTATGTCTAAGAGAAAGAAATGTTAAAATAGAATACATTATTCCGTGGGAAAATGTCAGTAATGTTGTTGTCCTCTCTATAATCTTGCTACATACACAACCAAAGTCCACTTTAACTTTACAATAAACCACTTTGTTATGAGAAAGCACTTTATACAATCTCCTACTATCAATTTGGAAACAAGGCAGTTCCATCTAGATTAAAAGCTTGCTCTGTTGCATCCTCACTTTATGCTCAAGGCAGGAAAATTTGTTCTTTCTTCAATGCAGATGCTTTTTCACTTTCTCAGTGCTCTTGCTTTTCTACAAGGTTACTCAATAAAACCTACAGAACTGTACAAAAAATATTCTCACTTTCTTCAAACTAATTCTAGAAGAAGTAAAAATAACAGCTTCTAAATATACAAAGGAGCAGTAGAAATGGTAGATACCTATCTCTCAGACATCACTGTCTTCAAATTCTTATATTTCATAATTTATTTCCAAGTTTATCTGTTTATGTCACTGCCAAGCTCAATTAAATATTTCCTTATCTTCTACAAATGGCAGTGGAGAAACAAAGTACTTATTTTTACAGCGATACCCCTGCAGCACTGAAGTACTACAAAGTACTGGGCTTCACATGTCAGGTCAATTTTTACGTTTAGAGAAGACAATGATACTGAGTGTAAATGAGGCTTCTTGTCTTTGTAAATTCTGAGAATGCCTTACAGAAAAATTAAGAAAATAGTATAATGAGATTTCTCATTCAGGCAGGAATCAGAACACATATGTGCATTCAGTGTCATTCCCTTATTCTTCTTATAACCCATATCTAATGCTCTCATGGGATGGAAAGCACCCAGTTGCATGCACCTGAGCTCCCCTGGGTTGGTCCTGCCTTCCCAACAGGTGCTCAAACACTGTTTCAGACTTAGCATTTCTGTAACACCATAGCAGAGTGAGGAATATGTGCTGAGCCTACTAACAAGGATGGAATCCCTGTAGAGAAGGAACTGGCAAAAACAGCCTCCAAACAGAGCTCCACCCTGGTGAAAAGCACAGCTTGTTTTCAGAATCCTTAGTAACTTGCATTGGTATTACCCCTTATGCATTTGTCTTGCACAATCTTCTGTCAGTGATGCTAAAAGCACATTTAAGTCTCATTCCACTGGTCAGTTTTTGTTTCTCCTGAAATCTCTATTTGTAAAGCTTCAGAACTGCTGCTGAGCAGTTCTTTCATCATTATCATTTACACAAGGAAAAAAGGTTTACTTATTATCTTTAGAAAATATATTTCTGTTCACTCATTTCTGCCCTTAGAGCAGATGTTTTACCCTCTCAGTCAAGTATTGGCATACTGGTAAATGGTTTAGGCTTACAAATACAGATAAGTGTGTTTTCTGAACCTACATTAACCCTTCTCAATATATTAAATTTCACTTTCTATAGAATCATACAGCTGTAATAACTGAATATAAAATAACATAGGATGGCTTAGGTTGGAAGGGACCTTAAATATCATCTTGTTCCAACCCCCTTGCCATGGACAGTGCTCCCATCCACTAAATGGAAGCTGCCCAGGGCCTTATCTAACCTGGCCTTGAATGCTTCTATCCAGTGATAGAGCACCCACAAGTTATTTGAGCATTCTATTGCAGAGCCTCACCACCCTCATAGCAATGAATTTCTTCCTAATCATGTAAAAAGTCTGTCTGACTCCCACTTAGAAGCTCTCTTCAAGTATAGGAAAGCTGTACCTAGGTCTCCCCAGATCCTTCACTTCTGCAAGTAAAACAAGCCCAATTCCTTTAACCTTTCTTCATACAAGAGATGCTCCAGCCTTTTGATTATCTATGTGGCCCTACTCTGAACCTGATCCAACAGCTCCGCGTTTTTTCATTTTGGGCTCCTGATACATCGGGCCTGGATAAATTGCTCCAGATGAGGCCCCACAAGGGCACAGCAGAGGGAACAATCACCTCCCTCGCCCTGCTGGCCACCTTTCTTTTGATGCAGCCCAGGATATTGTTGGTCTTCTGTGCTGCAAGAGCACACTCCTGGTTTATGTTCAACTTCTCATCCATCAAGTTTGGAGACCAACAGGGATGTACATTCTCCTTGGCCTGTCTTTTTTGATCAATGTATTTAAATAAATCCTTGTTTTTTAATCATCTCTTGCCAAATTCTGTTTTGTTGGTGCCTTGGTTTTCCTGATCCAATCCCTGCACATCCAGGCAACATCCCTATATTTTTCCCAAACCACCCACCCCTGCTTTCACTGCTTGTACATTTCCTTCTCATCTCTGAGTTTGATCATTAGGTCCTCACTCAACTATGCTTGTTTCCTGCCTCCTTTGCTTGATGTCTTATGCCAGAGGACAGAGGTTTTTTTATTGTTTTTAACTGGCATTTGCTTGAATTTTTTTTTTTTTTTTTTTTTTTTTTTTTTTATTCTCAAGATTTTTGGACTAGTCAAAGTACTAGAAATGAAAGAATATTCCAGTTCACATTTACATTGCTCCCAGGGTTGTGAATTGAAGAAATTATTCAAAATATTTCAGACTTGCAATATATTACTTAGTTTTTGCAACAAATGTTTTGATTACAGTAATTTACACGAGTATAATAAATACATCACACAATTTCTACATATAGCAAATAAGATAAATAGAAATATAGATGCATATATCAATGTATTACTACTACATAGCACTATTAGAAAATGGATAGTAGAACAGGGGTAGAAGAAAAAAAAAAAATTCTACATCCTGAGTGATTACTGTTATATAAAGGAACACTATGACAGAACATAGACTTTGCAGAAGTAGGTATAGATTCAGTGTAGTTAACTCATTTATACATTCATACATTGAAAATATGGTTGTACAACAGCAAATCTTTTGGACTATTATCTATCTATGAGAAGTATTGCAAGGGTTAACTGAATTAGTAGATAAATTGGATATAAATATTATACACATTTATTTCCAACAAAAGGTGTTCTAAGCAATGGTTTTGAAATCGGTTGCTCTGTCTTTAGAGCCCTACGTATCTGGGGGGGAAAAAAAAATCTGAAATATAACATGAAGATTTCATTAAAGCTGTATTGTACTAGTGAGTACAACAATAACACATGTGAGTAGTGAACAGTCAAATAAGGAAAAGAAATGGATAAAAAACTAAAGATCCAAATCCTTATTTTTATCCAGAGCCCTCAGTCTGCAACTGTCATAACCACGTTTCTTACCATACTCTCATACTTCATTTCCTAATTTGGACTATTTCTACACATAACATGTAGGCATTCCCCCAATCCTGGTAAAGAACAATAATGAAATACTATAAGAAGTGATGGATCTACTGCATAGGTCAGGTGAATCTAGAAAATTTATTCACTTCTGCAATGTTCATGTTTTCCTGTTACTTTATTTTTAACTGTGGCAGGTTGTTACCATTTAATTACTCAGGTGATCCAGAAGTGTAATGAGTGAATGTAAAATGTTACAGAAGTAGGTGAAATCAAAATGAGTTCTATTTCTTCTATAAGCAGTACAGTTTGGAACTTTTTTATTAAATATGCAGATTAAAATATATATATAAAATGAAATACTCACTCCTGTTATGTAACGAGGTCTATACTGGATGGTTCCAAATAAGCCAAGTATGACTACAATAATGTGTATGAAATTTGCCAAGATGGGTGCCCACTGATAACCAAGGAAGTCAAATATTTGCCTCTCGAGCACAGAAACCTATGATTAAAAAGCAAAAGAATAAATAGATTAGAACACACCAGAAAATATCTACTGGGACATTGTCCCATCCCATAGCAAGATAATTGCTCTAAGTTAAAAACAAAAACAAGAACAAATTCAGTCAGCAGTATCAGCAGCACAAAGAAATGAGTTTGCAATATTTCACTTTCTTGTTTTAATGAAAGCTGCATTTCTCACTGACAGATTACTGAATTATATTCAGTTACCTAAAATATTAATGTGGGCAATTTTACTGAGATACTAAAGCGTTTCCTAGGATGTTATGTTTGCAGGTGAAGAACCACAAATCATTTTGTTATATACACCAGCAAATGCTATAATGTCCTAGAGTACTGGTGCTGAAAATATGTGCTGGGTTTATGGTCGCTTCTCAGCTACTTTTGTTCCATCTACAAAAACCATCCTTCAGCTTAATCCTGTCTATTTTCTTTCATTATTTTCTCTTTTTACTTTTTTTTCTTTCTATTCCTTCTCTTTCTAGCTATCTGGTGAATGGGCTTTTACCTTTGCTGAAATGTATACAACTTTTCGACCTGGTTCTATTGATAATTACTCTAGTTTATCTTCTCTCACTGTCACAAATAACTCAAATATAAGCTGTTACTCACAACTCCTGACATTTCATTTTTGAAAATGAATTATGGTACAATCTTGAGCTGTCGATGGCTGTTTTGAGTTAATGCCATTCTAAGCAGATAGATGAGAAGGTAGAAAAAAAAAACCCTATATTTCTAATAATGTTGGTAGAATTCATTATTCTGAATCCAAACATCAAATGTCCCTTACCTTGTATTCAGACATTATAGTAAAATTCAGCGCTGCATAACAAACCATAGGCAGAATGGCATGTTTTGATTTAAGTAATATTGATATGAAAATTAAAAGGCAATGAAGGCTGAAGTGAATTTAGAGAGAAAGGGTACCAAGTTTCTTTGACATTTGAGTTATTTCACTGATTTTACTAATTAGAATTGAGTAGATGAGTTTTATGAAAATGTATGTAATAGTAGTAAAACACCCAGAAGAAATAAAAACAGACTGCTTCTTCACAAAGTTTCACTGACAGTAGACTATTTACTCAGTTTATATTATACAATAAATTACTTGATTTAGATGTATCTGTCACACACGTTATTCATTTAAAAGATAACACCTTTTGAAATCAAATACTAAATGAATAATTAACCACTGTTCAGCACTCTTCTTACATGATATAGCTATGAGAGAGTCATTTACCTTTCATGTCGCAGTCTACTCTCACACCAACAACTCATTTTTGAAATTGACTAAGAAGGCTTGCAATTAAAAAGACAGCCTACACTTGCACCAGCACTGCAAATGTAGAGTGTTAGTTATGTAATGCTTACGGGCATATGTTGCACTTTAAAATAGGGATTCTCAAATTAACACTGGGGAAGCCACATAATTTTGAATTTTGAGCCCATTTGAAAGTTCAGAGATTCATGTTAATCACTGAATTCCTCTTTACAACAAAAATTACTTTCATAGAGTACTTCCAGCTTAACACTTCCAGTGTTAATATTTCGCCTAGCATTTTATTTTACAAATATACTGACACAAAGAGATCCTGGTACTACATCATCTGAGATCTTAATGGAGTGATTTGTGCTATCCTGCAACTCTCTCTAGAAAATAAATGTAATAGAAGCATTCACAGAACCCCAGGACACAACATTCTAAAAGTGAAAACAGTGAAAAAGAAACAAAAACTTGATTAAGCTGCACTACAAGTTTCATGAAATCTACCTCTCCATGTGCTTTTAAATTTATCATTAAAAACTATTTCCCTGACTATCAGCTGAGCTATTTACATATGAAAGATAAACAAGTGGCATAGTGTTATGCAGGTTTGTGTGAAGACCCTTAGAGCTATTAGCAAAAGACTTGCTACACCTTAAGCACCATTAAACAGGTGAGGAAGGGAGAACACTCACTCTGAGCACCAAGCAAGGCTGAAGCAAAAAGAGTCTAGACTGATCAAGTATATAATAGATTTAATAGTAGAAATTCAATAAGCAAAAAATACTAGGAATGAAGAAACCATTCAATGAATAAGAAATTATACAGCTAAGAATTTCAACTATAGAAGAAAATCGCAGCAGGGTAGTTAATTGTATTAAAAAACAAAGTTAAAAGCCTAACACTCCTGTTTTAATTTTAGGTTAAGAAGAAGTTATTCTATCATGAATAAAGCTGTTTTGCTTTGCTTTTTTATTTATTTATTTCTTCTTTTTCTCTGAGAAATAAATCAGTTTCTGAAAAGCTTTTTTAAGGGGCTGTATTGGATATATGACTGTTCTGTATGAAATTTGCACTTCCCACATGTCAGCGTATATCCTTATTTTTGATGGCCAGCAATTGCTTCTGTACCAAGCAACCACTCCTCTCACACTGTGGCTGTGTTGGAATGTCAGGTGGAGGGCACCTACTGCAGTAGCCTGCCTGTCCATATGTGCTGTGTCCTGCTGATGGTCAACAAGACATGTAAAGCAGGCATTACATATCAACTAAGCAGGAGTAGGAGACGTGTCTGCACCATCTCCATGCCTATGTATCTACCTCATAATTTTGATAGGCATACTTTCTATTAAACTTCCTCCTGTCATTTGAAGGCATCAGTTGCATGTGGGGACTATTCTGGTAGGACTTGTAGCTATAAAAGGCTGATGAAATGCTGTGGAGCAGAAGTTCTGTGGAATTTATCAGAAGTTCTGTGGAACTTCTGCTCCACAGAAGTTCAGACTACCACAGCAAGAAGCATCACAGATTTATCAAATGGAAAATTTAGGACAGAGCTGGATTTTCATTCCTCTTTCTTAAGAGATGAAGGTGGAAAGAAAAAAAATACAGAAAACCAATATAGACTTAAGCAATCTCACGGTTTTATGATCTTTGTTATAGGTATTCCACATCATTAAATCATGTAGAGCACTGGGAGTTAAGTAGTTAAAGCTCCAGTTCCATGGATTATCAATACTTCCACAGTACCTTTCATGAAAGTGAAGAAGACCCACATCTCTCAAAACACTTCACTGTTCCTTTTCTGTTTTCCATTTAGAGGGAAAGGTGAAACTGCTTGGGAGACACAAGACTGCCCCTTCTTTTTCTGCTTTTCTCTGAGGTGTGTGCTCCTTAGCCATCTTACCTTCAGCATTAGAGTAATGTCTTCAGTTCTGGACACTCCCTCTCATTTATTTGATTTATTAGCTTCAATTCCAATTATATTGTATCATATTGTGTTATCTTGCATTCCGCTCTCATATTTAGTAAATTAATTTTCTCCCTTAACTTGTTGTTGCTGCTTTGTTTTTAGGCCCATCTCCCTTCCTTTTCCCTTTCATCCCCCTTTCCTCCCTCTCCCAGGGCATGGGTCCGTGGGTCCCTCTGCTCCATTAGTCACAGAACTGGGATGAACTGGGCCAGAACTGTAACATGCTGTTACTTAAAAAATGTCATTTTGTCTATCCTTGTGATTCCAGGAGGGGAAAAATAAAAAGTAGGACAAAGTACAGATAAAATCTATTAAAAACAGTATTATGTGGCTTCCACCTCTTGCACAGATGCCAGAATCATGAGGGATTTCCTCACTTAGAAATACCAAATACGGATCTGATTTTGAAAGGACTTTTTTTTACTTTAAAAACTTAAAAATGTTAAACAACTGCATTTCTTTCTGCAAGTACAACCCATTAGCTGAAAATGTTTAATAATGTTTCAAGCACACAAAGAAGAAAAGAAAAAAAAGACTGACATAGAAATATTCATATTTAAAGTTCTAGGAACAGAAGGAATTGCACATTTTCTTTCTTATTCTTCTGGAAACCAGAATTTAAAATGAGAACAGACAAGAGAAAAAATGGATGCTTTGAATGAAAAATTAGACTATTGGAAGAAAAGAAATTTTTTTATTGAATTCCATTTTAATAATTCACTGAACCCAAAACATACGATTATGGAGTCTCAGTTCCTAATTTTAGAAATTAAACATCCATCAAACTGTCTCAGGTTTCCAAATAAATAAAATACCACTGATAGATTATTTTATCTAATCACTGATAAATTATAGAAGAGCTAAGTGAAAACCATTTCTACTAATTCACTATTTTTTCCAGACTTCTGCTAGCTGTTTTAAAAATACATACAAAATAAAATCAGTCCATACACTGTCAAGTTGGAATAGCTCAAACTGTTTACTGATTCTTGTCTGAGGATGGCTGTTAATAGGTCAACAGTGTTACTGACCCTGAGGGATATAAAGAATTGAATTTCCAGAAGATAAAGAAAACCATTTTGAGATGATTCTTAAAGTATATGATAGGAGCAAAATTTCAGACAGGAATCACAAAGGAGAAACCAGTCAAAAGATGATTTATAACACAAATACCAAAATGGAAAATGACAAAATGCTTTTCCTTAGAAAGCTCCTTGAAAAGAAACTTAACCACAACAACTTCACAAAAGAACACACCCAAAAGTTTGCACTGATATAAATTAAAGTGTACTTGGTCACACAATCCTTCATGCACAAAAGCTTGCCAGCCTGGGCCCCTAGTGAAGCAAGGACTAGTGTAGGATCACTTTAGAACGGGCAAGTGAAGAACAAGTTATAGAAACCAAGCAGTCATCAGTAACTCTTTAAGTCTTCAGCTCATTTGTTCTTTAGTGAGTTAAATTTTTGGTTCTATAGCATATAAATGTAAATACTTCCTAGGAAGCACAAGCACTTTAGGCCTGTAAATGTACAAAAGCTCTACAATGCTGAAGCCTATTTGAACCATGCACAAGGCTAGGCTTTCTGCTTGCTTCGTCAATTTGAGGCAGAATTCATGCTTCACACCATATCTTAATGGAGTTCATTTAGATTTACAACAAAATTTCTAATTTCAGTATTCTGTCCTGAGATAGAGGGACCAGTTATTCAATGAATTCCCAATAGTTCCTCACCAGAAAAACAG